TTTGATAATGACATTTTTGAAAAAATGGCCTTTTACACAAACTTATACTCAGTATCAAAACAAATTTCAAGATTCAAACCAACAAATATAAACGAAATGAAAATATTTATTGGTATTCATATTATTATGGGCTCTTTGAAATATCCTAGAGTACGTTTGTATTGGGAAGAAAATTTTCAAATTAATCTCATTTCGCGTAATATGTCACGAGACCGTTTTTTCGCATTAAGAACTAATTTTCATATAATTGATAATAGCACTATAAGTAAAGAAAATAAAGATAAATTTACCAAAGTGAGACCATTATTTGATGCAGTGTTAAAAAAATGTAATAGCCTACCTTTAGAACAAGAACTTTGTGTTGATGAACAGATGGTTCCTTTCAAAGGTCAACTCTCAATTAAACAATATATGAAAGGAAAGCCTATAAAGTGGGGGGGTCAAAATTTTTTTATTATGTGGAGGTAAGAGTGGAATGGCTTATAATTTTATGCTATTTCAGGGATATTCAGAATTAGACAGTAACTTAGTAAAATCGGTGGGCTCTGGTGATAGTGTTGTGTTACATTTAACACAGAATGTTCCTCCGAACCGCCATTTTTTATACTTCGATAATTATTTTTCGTCATTTGGATTATTTGAGAGATTGCAACAGTTGAAAATTTACGCGGTTGGTACAATTAGAACAAATTGGTTTGCACAACCATCATTTTTAAGTGACAAACAAATGCGGAAAATGGGTAGAGGCACTGCATTTGAAGTTACCATAGATATGAATAATTGTAATATAGGACTTGTGAAGTGGTTTGATAATAAAGCAGTTACTCTTGGTTCTAATTACATAACATCTGGAGAAGTTGACAAAGTCGAGCGTTGGGACAAAAAGAAAAAGCATATGTAGAAATCGAAAGGCCAGAAATTGTAAGAAGATATAATGATTCAATGGGTGGTGTTGACAAAATAGATCAGTTGATTAGTTACTATCGTATTTTAATTAGATCTAGAAAATGGACATTACGAATGGCTATGCATGCATTCGATATTGCATTACAAACAGCTGGATTCAATATACCAAAGAGGCTGAACAGTTAAATATCCCTAAAAAAAAATGTATTAGATTTATTACATTTTAGAATAAATTTAGCGAAAGATTTAATTACTTTTGAAAAGCCAATAACAYCAAAACGTAAAGGACGTCCGTTGACMACCCCATTAAATGAACCGTCTCAACCGTACAAAATAACAAAATTAGACTCTCAAAGACCCACAGAAGCAGCAGTTAGAACAGATACTATTGATCATATACCAGAATTCGATGATAGGAAATATGCCACGAAGTGTAAAAACAAAAAGTGCGAARGACGAAGAACCCACGTGTATTTTTTAAAGTGCAATGTACATCTTTGTCTCGACAAAAAAAGTAATTGCTTTAAAGATTTTCAT